TATTTCAACCCATATAACCTCATATTCGATACCATATATATATATATATTCATGGAACCCAATATAAAATCCCTCCTCTAAATTTTGGACCCAAACACTACCTTTACCAAAATCCTCCCAAATTCCACCACTTATACAAAATGACAAATACCTAGGTTAAAAACTATATCAAGGTGCAGAATGTCCCTATCTCAAGTGTAGAAGCTCAAAGGAGATGATGAAGAACTTTAAAAGTGCCCCAAATTCAGTTTGACTCGGATCAAAGGGAGGCCCTTGAGATGCTCTAACTCTTTAACAAAGGGACTAGGGTTGAGAGATGCTTAGATCTTGAGGTATTCATATATAGAGAGAGTTTTAGAGAGAGAGAGAGAGAGTGCCGGATTAAGATTTATTTTCCAAAAAAAAAATCAAAAAGTGAAATAAAACTCTCTGCTGCGAACTGATATACGCGACTTTCACTCGAGTGAAGAAGTTGTCGCTTGAGCGACCAGACACAACAAGTGACCTCGCTCGAGTGCAAGAATCGTCGCTCGAGCACAGAATGCAAAGCTTCAGAAGTTTGACAGACGCACATGCTCGCTCAAGCGCAAAAAGTCTCGCTCGAGCGAAGAACTTCACCTTCCCAGAAATTCTACGTCTGGGAAAGAAACCTAAGGACTCTCAATTCTCGTTTGAGCTCAAGAAACCTCGCTCGAGCGAAGAAGCCAAAATCTGAGCAACAACAATTTAGACCTGTGAAGCCCCTGAAAAATGTATTTTTTTTAAAAACCCTTATGTTTGAATTATTTCCTTAAAGCCCATTAGTTTCTTAAATTATTTCGAATCTTGTCGGTTAGTATGTTTTTAATTTTTATCGAAACAGGAATATCCTAGCTGAATTAGGTTCCTTAGTCTAATTTAATTTAATTCTACATAAATAAGGTTCCAATACATGAGTTTAATTCCAAGCCCTCACTTATTTTATTAATTTCAAGAATTGCCCCAAAACTAGTACATATACTTTTTATACTATAGGTACCATCAAATCAATTTGAGATCTATATATATACATTGGGAAATGTGTCAATAGTACTCATATAATGAAAAAAATATTTCCCATTTCCCTTCTCCATGGCCAGGCAACCTTGGAGAGTGTGAGGGACCAATTTTCAAGATTTGTAATTATGATATTCTAGAAGCTCAAGTACCAAGTACAAGGGTTGTGTTTCCAACCTAGTTCCATCCCAACTAGAGGCTAACTAAATCTTGCCTAATCACATAATTAAGCCCCTTAATCACTCCCTCTTCCATTAGACTCCAAGTAAATCCAAACTTCTCAATCCAATTCCAACTAGTGGGCCTTTACGTTTTTTCACACCAAAATTGCCTATGAATACAACCACCCTCTTAGCAAAGTATACACAAACAACACATACACACACCTACATTCGGCCTAAAGGAGAGAAAGGAGAGCAAGAGAAAAGTCTTGAGAGAAAGAGGAAGGAAGAGGGGAGCAATCTTGTTCAACTTGGCCTAGCCAAGCAAGTAAGCCACAACACAACTCTCTCTTTTATTTTTCTTTTTCAAATACATGTTCTTAAGGGTTCTACCCATTGTTTTCAGATGTATTATTAATGATTTCCTTGTGTTAAAAATGATAAGAGTTGAGCCATGATTCTACCCCTCTTGTAGTTCTCCTCATTTCGGTACAAAACTATCTTTTTCATACCAATCTCTCAAACTTTCCAAAGGCACACCTTCAAGATAATTTTCTGAGTTTAATATATATTATTTAGCATGTTTTCATCACAAAAGAAATGAAAAATTTCCCGTAGTGGATCCCTTTCTCACAAATCTTCTTGTTTTGGGCATTGTGCCTTAAAAATCTGTTTTTACAACCAATTTTCAAAATTTCTAGAAAAATGTAGAAAATTATTCTGGACCTTCATTTTATTTCAAAATCTTCCTTAAGAAGTTAGCTTTCAGCTCAAATTGGTTTCATTGAAAAATAGTGAGCGGTTGGTAAGAAAATCAAATTTTCGTAACGGTCGACGAATCTGGACATTGCTGGAGTGTTCCTTAAATAACTAAAAATCTAGAAAAGCTATTCCATTTCCGAAATATGTTCTGGAAACTAGATTAAATTCTCTACGAACCATAGGAAGGTCGAGCCCGGTAAAAATCTAAAATAGCCCTTTTTATTTTAATCTTTAAAGGGCATTGAATCTGGAAATTTTGTTGTGCATGGGTGTTTTATGCTCTTGTGTTCATGAATATGCTTATTAGCTTATGATCATGTCTTGGCATGATATTGCATGTGTTATGGATATGTTCCTTATCTTCTTCATTCTAATGATGCATGCTTACGTAGATATTATTATCTTGTTAAGTTGGTGTAACCTTGATTTAAAACATTTAACTCAACGGAAAACTTAATTGGGATAGTATTGGGTTTTCGATCACTTGAGTAATGAAAAGATGATAATATGTGATGTATGGATTGTTGGGATGCATTCCCTATTTGGAAGTTAAAGTCTTGCGCAAGTGGTTTTCGGAACCCTTGAACGGAGCGGTTGTATTCGGACCCTAGGTATTTGGTGTGAGGAGGGATTTGGGCAAGGCCTATTATTACTGTCTCTTTTGAGGCCCTGCGGTTGGCGCTACGTGGTATAAAACTGTTGGTAGGCATCTGAGATTAGTTTTGCAACAAAGCAGTAAAAGAGGGGGCATACTGAATAATCCGCGTCTGATTCTTGTGGTTGGGAGGACGAAATCTCTTTGGGGGATTTCTAGTTTAATAACATCTAACCTTGTAACCCTTTATTTATTTAGTTGAGTATCATGCTTTATTACTTGCTGTCATATTTGTGATTGTGTATTGGATTGGGAAAAAGGGACGGGGTGTGTATGCGTTTACTGGGCATTCAAAGCTCACGGCGTATCATGCTAGGTACCGAAGAGGAGCTTATAGCTGGAGACGACGAGCCTGAAACCTTCAAAGACTTTTGGCTATCTTAGAAAAGTTAGAAATTTCCCTTTTGATATTTTGTAAGGCTCATATGAGGGTTTAAATTTTCTTTTGGGATGTAATGTAATGTAATGGAACAAGCTTTTGAAATTAAGGATATTCGTGGTTATTATGTACTCAAGTTCTAACATATACATATATATAAACCCTATCGTTGTTTATGAGACCTTGTGTCAATACCTTTTAAGATTTGTCAAAAGGGTAGTGCGCTGCCTAAGAAAGCTGGACTTAGAAGGGAGGCTAATTTGACTCCTCCGGCGATGTGGGATCTTACTTGGTTATTGACCATATGACTCATTAGTGACTTTCCCTTGACTGCAACTAATAGTGTAGATTCAGGGTGTCACAAGACCAACTAATAACCAGCCTGTTCCAAACACTCCCACAAATTTCAAAAATCAAATTCAAAGAGTTAAAGGAGGAAAACAAGACATGGATACAATATTAAACCACGAAACTTGAGTTCGGAATGTAACAAAGGTCAAGTTAAAACCGGGATCGCTATATGAATCTTGTTCCAAATAAGAATAATTGAAGATATCATTGTTTAATTTCAAGAGCAAAATTATCAATTTGATAAAATATAAACTAATTTGACAAAAATAAATGTCAAAAATATATTTTTAAATTTTTAAAAATTATTTATACTCACTAAAGATAAAATTATGTAAAATTGATAAATCTTTTAGAAATTTATTTATTTTTTTACCAAATTAATTTTTATTATGTGATTGGATAATGCTCATGTAATTGATGGTTATTTTTATTTTCATTAAATAAGTTTATATTTTTTCAAAAGTCAAATATGGCGACAACTTTGATATCATTATTAAATTAATCTATTAAATCCAAAAATCCAAAACTAAAAACATTTTATATATTAAATATATGGTTATCATCCAAACACATAATAAAATTTAATTTGGTAAAAAAAAATGTCTAAAAGATTTATCAATTTTACATAATTTTATCTTTGGTGGGTAAAAATAATTTTTAAAAATTTAAAAATATTTTTTTGACATTTATTTTTGTCAAATTAATTTATATTTTATCAAATTGACAAATTTGCCCCTTGAAATTAAGCAATTGTATCTTCAATTTTTCTTATTTGGAACAAAATTCAAAAGTTAAGGTCAAATGTGTCACAATTGAAAAGTCATGATCAAACTGACATGACTCACAAACTATAGAAATTATTAGTGTAATTCGCCCAAGGAAAAAAGATGGGAAACTAAAAAAAGAAATGCTCAACTTCATTTTTGCTTTCATGAAGATTCTTAAAAAGATAATAAACTTGTAAAGTGTTTTTTGATCTAATAAAATAAAAGATAATTGCTAATTAAAGTACTTTTAAGGTGCCCAATAACTTTCGAAACTGCAAATCTTAAGAAGATAAAGAATCATAAGATAAAAATTATATTACCTACCTAGATTGTGTATATCCTCCTACCTACTTGCTGACAATGTCGACTCCATCTTGTCACAGTGGGCTAAGTGTTGTAATCCATAGCCTACCGAACCCACAACCACAACCACAACAACCACAACCACAACCACAGCCCAACAATGTGTGGCTAAGTTCGATAATGAATGAAGAAATTGGGTCCGGTGAGTCCTCAAACAATACAATGCCAAAGCATAAAGTACAGAAGGTCCCTCAAATGCTTCTACAGGTGGGGACCGAGTCCACCAAGAAATGCTATAAGCCACAGCTAGTTTCCATTGGTCCCTACCACCACGAGAACACAATCCTCAAATCGTTCAAACAATTCAAATTTCAATTCACAGGGAAGTATGTCAACAGTTGTGGATCATATTCAATAAATGACTTGTATAACAAGGTTGCAGACGTGGCTATTGAGGCGAGAAACTGCTATGCTGAGGACACAAATATTGATGACACGGACTTCACTCGGATGATGTTCCTCCATGGTTGCTTCATCCTCCAATATATTCACTACATGAGATGCGAAAACGAGCAAGCCAAATGAAGATGAAGAATCACGACAAAGCTTTCGTGGAACATGACTTGTTCTTGCTCGAGAATCAGCTTCCTTTCAAAGTCCTCCAAGCATTGATGACCATGAACTCGGAATTTGCTGGAGAGGAAGGCTTGAAGTTGATTAACAAGTTCATTCAAGACACGAGTCCAGGTCCTCCTCTTCCTTCATTTTGGGAATTGGTGGAAAATTGCATTACTAACATTACCTGCAGGTTACCCACCAAAAAAAACATTACCAACTGGCGCAAAGAAGAATCAAAAAAATCAAATTCACAATTATTCAAACCCGCTTATTTTCTAGAACTCATGCACAGGCAACTTATTAAGCCCAAAGCTTTCAAAACTCCTGGCACTAAAAACAGAGGAGGAGGAGGCAACAACTGTTACTCACCAATGAAGAAATTCATCGTCGACCTTCTCAAAAAATTATGTACTAAATGAGAAGGAAACAATTGGTACTCGTATCGTTCAATGATGTAGGACGAGTAGGAATTACTTTCCTACAAGTAGTGAGCCCGATTTAAGTATACTGGCAGCAGCAACAATAGACTTATAGGGCTAGATTTGGTGGGATTTTGTGACTGCAGAAATATTTAAAAGAATAAGAGTTTAAGGGTTTGTAAAAGGGTAGGATTTTGGGAATGAAAACACAAATGCTTAGAGACAGTTGGTTGGTTGTTCTAAGCACTGTGAACAGTGACGTGAACAGTAACCTTGTTGGATAGAAGAAGAGGAAGAAGAGGAAGAAGAGAGGAAGAAAGAAAAGTGCTTCACTCTCACGTGTTGACTTTCCACATTCTCCTTGTGTTTTAACATAGCCAAAAACTAAAAAGTATGACTATTAAAATCTTGTTTCTTTGATTCCAGGAGAAGGATATTAGTTTAAGTGGTGAACATGTAAGGGAGGGCTTGACATGTGTAATATCTGTCAAAGTACCAAATCCAGAATTTGAAGGACAAACAAAGGTATTCTCAATTTCATCATCGCATTCACGATCACTGATGCTTTGGGTCATGAATAATGATTTTAGCAACTTGAAGTTTGAGATCATCAATCACCATTTTCTTTCACTGCAAATGTTTATATTACTGCTTGTTTCATCTTTTACCTTGAAAGACAAGGTTGGGGAATCCAGAGGTGCGGAAAGTGGTTGATCAATCTGTTCAGGAGTATCTCACTGAGTACTTAGAGTTGCATCCAGATGTACTTGATTCAATCCTTTCCAAGTCCCTTAATGCTCTAAAGGTACCATAATCATAGCTCATGACATTTTTGTGGTTCAGATATATGCATTTCTCTTGTGAGTCATGCCTGTTAATCTCTATTTAGGCAGCTCTGGCGGCAAAGAGGGCAAGAGAATTGGTGAGACAAAAGAGTGTTTTAAAATCATCTTCTATTCCTGGAAAGCTTGCAGATTGCTCAGCCACTAATCCTGAAGAATCTGGTATGTTATGTGTGTTCTTTTATCAGATCATTGTTATAATTAGAGGTTGACTACTGCAATGATGCATTAAAGATGATTTTTTATTTTTTTATTTTTTATTGTTGATAAGTGTATTTAGGGTACTTAAACAATTATAAAGTTAGTAGATGAGGATTTTTTTCTCAATCATAGTAGCATTTTAATAATTCAGTTAGTATCATTTATGTAAAATCATTATTTGATGTGAAGTTGAGGTACAAGAAGAAAGCAAGAAAAAAGAGGCTGTATGGGAAGAGCTGCTGATAATATTAAGCTTAATATTATACCATAACTTTAGTACTTTTTTTTTTTTTTT